TAACAATATATTGTTAAACTGTCAGACAGCCCCCAGTGTAACTGCAGAATCGGTGGTCACAAGGTGAAATAATCTGAGCATCTTCTGGGCTTGATCTACCAGAAGGAAAATACCTACTCACTACCTGTTATATAGCAATATCTGAATCTTTATGACATGGGAATAGTTACTTTTAGTTAATTTTTAATTCTCTAAAATTGTGATCATCATCGGGCAGGGTTAAAGTATGCCAAATGGAGAGCTTGCAGAAGTTGTGTGGCCCAACTTTAATACTTATGCCACTTTTGTGAGGTGGTAAAGCAATGAACTTCTGAATGCTCAGGCACATGGAAGCACTCTAAAGGAAGAAAATGCTTGCATTTGGCAGGTTTAGCAAAATTAGTGCAGCAGGTTTTGCTCTGGTGAACACCTGCTGTAGCTGCAAAGGATCGTCTGAGCACTTCTGTAGACTGATTGCAAGAGCTATGGGAAAATGGATGACAGCAGGAAATTGATAAACAGGATGACCAAGAGCATTTCTGATTGAAATTGCTTCTCCCAAACATGTTGATACATGCAGTTGCTAGAAGGTAAGGAGCTGGTTGTAGTTTCTCTGCATAAATGAGGATTTACAGGCTGACTGAGAGATCTTTTAAAATGTACTTTGATAGACATGGTACAAAGGTACAAACCACAAACTGGAGAGGCTTTTGAAGGCCCTCTCCTGCAAAACTCTCAGGTAAATGACTCAGGCCAAAAGCAATTTAGCACCAGACATATGCAGGCAATTAATCAAAAGGGAGAGTATGAGAGTAATTCATCCTTTGTGTAGACTCTGGGTTTCAAGCTGTTATTTTAATTATGCTTTTAAAAATCACTATAACAGAGAATAAAGCCATTATACCATGCATCTTACCTTTTTTGTGAGCACAGGACCCATTTTCCCACATGAAAATCATATATTGTCAGAAATACTCCCCCAAACACTTATTTTTTCCATTTCTCACCCTCTCCTCTCCCTCTCATATTCCCTTTAAAAAACAAATGCTTACACTAAAGCAGCCAGGCCTCCCTGCCAGCCACAGGCTTCCTTCCCACTCTTAGCTGCTCCCATAATATGCCACCTTGTTCTTGTGAAAAATAGTGCATTCTCTGCAGCACAGAGCAGCACGCTGTAGGAGGGGACAAGCAGCTCTGGAGCATGCAGCACTTGGAAACAACGAAGTGCACAACTCTAGCTGGGATGACAGAGCAAATGAAGAGACCACATTCCTGCAGTTACACTGTTAACATCATTTTGCTTGGGAATAAGTTTTGTTTGGGAATAAATAACCTTGCCTAACAGTTATTTTCCATGCTAGGAGATGCTTGTTTTCTCTGGTTTAACTTGAAGAGGAAATAAGCTCCTCAAAGTTTTCTTAGCATTTCTGTTAAGCATTTAAAATATCTAATATTTAAGGACTATAGTAGATCAATTTAGATCTCAAATTGACATTTTGTCAAAACAAACTCCCTGTAGTCCACTGGCAACTCTAGTAAGGTCCCTAAGCCAGAGCACTGATCACAGAGGGGGATGGAGCAGCCTGAGGACACTTCGGCCTGAGGAGGCCGCCTCTGCGCTGCAGACTCAGACGCCACCCCAAGAAGGACGTGCACCAATACCTAAAGAAGTCTGAAGTACTCAGACCATTACGTTTGGCCTCCTATCAAGACACTTGATTTAACTTCCAGTGGCTCTCACTTCCATGTGGCTGTGCAGGTTCTGAACCTGTATAAACATTTTGCATCCATAATATCCCTCACTGCACAGAGTCAAACTTATACTTGTTTTGGACATTGCTCCCATGAGCTTCATCTGATGTCTTCCACCTCATAGCCTGTCACCTCTGCCAGTCAACATCCATGATTTTGCAGATTATCATAAAGCCTGTCAATAACCATTTTTCTAAACTCCAAATACCAGGATACTTACACATTTGATATCTTTAATCATCCTGGATTGTGTTCTCTAAACTTTTTCTGATTCTCATCCTCTAATCTCAAGCACGATGCATTGCAACTGCATGTAGTAAAATACTGAAAAGTATGCACACAAATTCTGGATTTATACTCTGTCACCAAAATACTTTTCTATGTTCTGTTCCCTGCTCTTTCACGAACTATTCTAAATGTTTCCTTCCTTTTTTTTGGCTGCTGCTAACATGGAGATGGTTTTATGAAACTATCTTTTATGATCTATGGATCCCAAGCAGTAGTAATGCTGAGCACTCTCATATAAAAGCTCACTTTATATTTAACAGTAATGATTTAAAAAAAAAAATCACATAGGAATATCTTAAATGGCACAGGCTCTGGCACAGACTCCTGCAGAAATCCATTGTGACTCCAGCCTACCCTTTGTTTCTTCTTTTAACCTCCATTCCCTTTTTCCACATAGCATCTTTTACAAAACATAGACATTTCACTAATGTTTGTTACAAGATGTTTACTGGTATTCACTGATGTTTATCAACTAGAAGCAGCCTCCTGTCCCACAAAGAAACATGAAGGTAGACTGATTCAGAGGAATGAGGGGGTACAAGATTTCCTGGATTAGGAAAAATAAGAGCACCTAAAATAGAATTATTTATAAAATGACTGGGCTTCTAACTCATGGGCATGCCCTACTGTTTGAAATTATTTCCAAAGCCTGCTTCTGCATGCACTCAGGTAACGCTTGGGCAAAAAAATTGTGTAAGATCTAAAAATTAATTTGGGTTAATGATCAGAGCAACAAACTCTTCTACCATAAGAACAGCATGAACACAAGCCCACAAGGTGAAAAATGATTTAGCTCACCTTAATGGAGGCTACAAATTTCTAGTGTCTCCCAATGATACTTCTTTTATCTTATAATTGCTTGATAAAAACAAGAGTGTCTATATTTTTAGACTGCATAACAGCAATTTTTGGAGCTTGTGGGTTTTGGGATTTATTCTATAGGGTAAGCACTATCACTGCCACGGTCAACAGAGCCATTGCTCTGTTGCTTCACAATATCTGCAGCGATGAGCAACCACTGGAAAAAAACAAAAACAAAAAACCCCTCTGCCCTCACCCCAAAAAAACATAAAAGTCATTCTCTACCAAGACCTAACAAAATCCTATACAGTGAATGAGACAGGAGACCGCCGAGTGGGGGAAAAAAAGGAGGTAGATACTCTTAAAAAAACAAAACCAAGAACAGTTATGACAACACATATGAAAAAGAAATAAAATTAATTCATCTCCCTAAATTTAAACTATGTGACTCTGCAACTTTAACCCCATCACTAATCTGCACAAAAAGAGTTGAACATCAACCTTCCAAACCCTATACCACCATGATTAATTGCTACCAGAATGCTCAAATTGCAAAACAGGTGATTCAGCTGCTTAAACTGCGGTTTACAGCCTGGAGTTCTCATATTTATCCTAGAGAGAAGCCTTTTTTGTCAGTTTTACTGCAGATACTTTTTCCTTAAAAACATCAATCAGGAGAACAGCCGTTCTTAGTCAACTTGCCTAAACAGAAAGTACTTTAAAAATATTCACGATATTATGACTTCCTTTCACAGCATTCTCTTCACAGCATTCTCTTAGTCTTATGTTAAAAATATTTAAAAGCCATGCATTTAACAAAACAAAAGCAATTGTATTTAATTTTTTTCCTCAGCTATGCCTGGTTGCAAAACATAGAGAATATTCGTAATTTTGAAAGATTTACTAAATATTTGTTTAGTTCAGATTCTTAAAAGTTCATGACACTGAGCATTCTTGCGATCCTCTAAAAATCGCGGGAATACACAGAAATAGCACGGCATTTTCAAAATCAAATCTTACAATGCAAGTGAATACCAAAAAAGGAAAGAACATAGATGTTTTTCAAAATACAAAATATTAACTGTTTGGTAATAGGCTTGACTAGAAATATTGATGATAGAACCCGATAGATTTTGAAATTAAGAGCAGGAAAGATAAATTCCAATTTAAGACAGGAAGAAAAATTATTAGTAGTTTGATCATGATAATCCAACGTTTTCCTGGATACTTCAGCAATCTTCCCAAAGTCCACAAGAACACAGGCACAAAGCTGTGTTGCTTTAAGGTAGGTGATACAGCAGGAAGCCCCCAACTCTTGGCTCTCATGTTTTGCTCTGAAAAAAACATTCCTCACTCTTTTCTCATCCTTCCTTCTGTCATGTAGGCACAATGAAATCCCCAAGACAGGGTGGTATCTTAACAGCCTAAAAGTTCTACTCCAGCAGAAAATGTAGCATGGTGTAGGTACAAAAGCACTCTGTTCTAAGCTGTTTAATCTTTTTACTCATTTTTATTGCTCAGTTTCACTGAGGCCTGTTGACTTGCAGTAAATATATATTTTCATTAAATCAGGAAATGCTTTTTACTAGGCAGGTTATAAATACGTAAGTTCTTCAGCAACAGCAGAGCTTAGACCTATGTTTTTTTCATTGCGAGAACGTGGTGAAAGGAATTCCTTATTTTCTTCTTTATCTTTAATTTATTTCAAGCTGCTTTTGAATGCAACTCAACAACATATTGCAATGAACGTAACAGCAGTCAAAATTTCAGAATTTTATGTTGTTTCAACCAGTATCTGAATTCCTCCAATAGGAAATATACAGCGACAAATGTTATTTTTATTAACTTGAATGATCTAATATAGTATTTTTCCTTAATACAGATTATTGTACTTTATTTATTTAATTTATTGCACAGATTATTTTAAGAAATATCATTAAATGAATTACATTTAAAATATTTTTATATTGGCCTTATAAGTGGAAGCTAATACTCCAGTTATGTATGAAGGTTACACTACAAAGCCCACAAAAGGAAATACTACAGTACAAAACACCATTAAACTAAATAAAATGAATCAGTGGCTACTTAGGATTTGGGTAAATAAACAGGAAATATTTGCTTGTTGCAACTTCAATATCTTATTGTTACACACTTTTGTGAGTTAAAATTTCTCTCACCTGGTGGGCTCCCATGCCCTGCTGCAGCTGTAGCAATTGCAAAAGCAGAAGCAGGAGAAACAGAGCAGTGGCTGTTGTCAGCAGTTTGTACTGTAAAGCAAAAAGAGAGAGAAAGGTTAACTTAGGCACAGCTTTAACTTTTTTATTCAGGCTAAACGACAATGTAACTTGAAATCTTTACTAATGTTCTCTGTGTAGTAAACTTTTGTATTTTCTGTGTCACAGGATTTCCTACTGCAGAAAGAAAAATGCTGAGAGTTTTTCTGGGCTGGTATAATAAAGTCTGCTGTGGATCAAAATTCTTAAGAGACTCCTAAGATGATGCATAAGCATTAATCAGACAGACTAAGAAAACACTGACAAACTGTTAAAAAAATGGTGTAGACTATTAACCTATGCAAACTTTAGTGATAACAAGATTTATCAGTTTCTCCAGGTTACTGCCCAAGTATTTACCAAACTTTCTCTAAAGGGAGTTCTGTGAACATTGTTTCTCACTTGTCTCAGATGATGTGACATTGTTCCCCCCAGATCTTGCCATCTCACTGTACGCATGCCCAATAACAAAAGACTACTAGTGGTTTAAAATTGAAGTGTTAGTTTCCATGACTTATTAAAGGCTGAGAAGATTCTGCTCCGTTTTTGTTGTTTTAATCCCAGGCCTGAAATAACTGGCTTGAAATTTGGCTTACATGATATAGCAGCATTTTAAACATTTATGGACATAGCTCACAGCTCTGTTAGTGATTTCAAGGAGCCATATGAGAGCTATTCAAGGAGACCCAGCTCTTACTTTTCCTCTTGAATTGAGCAATTTATGCAAATTCTGAAACAAATAATATGACACCATCTGTAAATGTCCAGTGCCACAAAAAGAAACATCGACAATAGTGTGTTGTGTATTTCATAATTACATATGGTGCCCAAAATAAGCCCCATCGGTAGCTGAAAAAATCTGTCAAGGTCTTGAGAATTTTGTGAAGATAGAACTGATTCAGTATTAGTCTAAGCACATCCAGTTCCAGCTCTTAAAGATCATTTCAGCATATCCAAACTCCCCAAATGCTTCCAAATCTCATTATTTGTATGCTAATTAACCAGAGTAACATTATTCATGCTCTGATGGCTTTTTTATACCAAAAAAACAAGGAATATACAAGTAAAACATATTATTCAGAGATTATTCACTTCTAATACCCTGAAAAGATTACAACTACAATATTTAATCTCTTTAAGGTGACCAACAGAGGTGAGAAACATCAGCATCTTACCTCCTGACTGCCGGTAGCGAAGATGACGTGGTGTCGAAGGGGATCTACATGGGGAAAGTTCTGGGGTATCCGCTGCTGAGGTGCTTTCAGGAATTGTCCTGTCCACCGACACAGAATCCAAAACTGCTGCTTTAAAAGAGTATGAATGTTAATATTGGGATGATTATTCATAACGTACAATTAATTAAAAAGTATAAATATTTTTTCAAACCTATGATCTAATTCCTTGAACATGATATGAGATCTTAACACAGATAAGTGACTTAAAGATGTAAAACTATATTTGTCTAGTCATTTCACCAAAAGACTCTCTTTTAAAGCAGACATTATTTCATTTTACATATGAACATGAAGTGGATCAGCAGAGAATATAGAGTACTTCGGGGTGATTCAGGACTCTAAGTTTATGAACAGCAAGAGATCTGCTTCAAATGAGGCTGTATTGGGTTGCACTAGTAAGAAGAGTATACGTGATAGAAAGGTTCAAAGGTATTTTTAAAAATGGTCATTAACTAACACCACTTTGTCATAAGGTTTCTATACCAAACCTAGTACTTGTGCATGCCATTTAACATTTAAAATTGTTTTTACCTACTCTGTTTCTTATCTGTTGCTTTTTTCTTGTAAATTGAATTGCTTTTGGAAATTGTCATGTATTTTTCATTAAAACGAGTCAGCGATAATTATCTTCTGGATAGCAAAGGACTGTAAAAGTTTTGTACCAACAATGTAACCACACAAAAAAATACTTGATGAAAACCAGCAAGTTATCAAATTTAAAAATAGCTTGGTTATGACTGCACCTTAGACACACACAGGAATGAGTGTGTAAAATGGATACCTGAACTCAGGTTCCAGACAACAACTTGGAGAAAAGAATCTTTGTTGAAAGACTACATTCAGCAATACAGTTACAAAACCTTCCAATGAAACTGCCAAGCAACATACTGGAGGGTCCATTACTCTCTCTAGGAGAGTGCCTCTATCTGAAGAATAATAAAGGAATGATCATAACTACAGATTAGCAGAAAGACAGCTTCCCAAATGAAGGAAATCCTTGTCAAAAAACTGATAAAATACATTGAATGATATAACTGTGCTTACAGCAATATATGTAGAAATATATATATATGTTTATACACATACGCACATCCATATATTTATACACAAATGTTTTAAAAAGAAATTGTCTCCAAGAACATACATTAAATAAACCAGGTTGTGGTTCCCAGTAGGACTCATTTCCTTATCCAGAAAACTTCTAAACCAAGAATCCACACTATGCATGACGGAAAAAGTTCAAATTAGCATTTGGTGTTTCTCCTAATACCCACCTTCTCCTTGGGAGACTGAATTTACTCAAACATGCTACACAGCCCACTCACAAAATGAACTTGCCCTGGAGAACACAGCTGCAAACCTCTCACTGCTCTGTGTGAGTGCTAATCCTTCAGCAGGATGATTCCCAAAGGCTCTGGAGATACTACACATACAGCAATTTAACATTTACAGGAGGTTCCTGCCATTTCCAAGTGCTCCTTATGCTGCATAAATGACACTTCAAGCTCTAATATACTAGAATGCAAAATTTGAACTCCTCTGCAGCAATTCCTGGTACTGTCATTTGGCCAGAAGAACCTATTCTTTACCAGCTTAATTTACAATTTAACAACAAAGAAGCTACATCTCAGATTACAATTACCTTTTTTCAGCTCTTTTGAAAGCAAGATCTATATATTTGGGATCTATATATTTCTTTTACACCGGTGTAAAAGAAAGATTTGGCCAACTCCACATTCATTTAAAAACTCCAATTCATTTTAAAATACTCAGCACACAAAATCACAACATAAAATTATGGTTTGCTACAACCATCAACCAATATTTTGTTAAAGAATAAAATAGGGGTAAGCCTATATCCTCTAATGCTAAGCTAACTTGTCAGGTTAAACATTTTCTTATTAAATAGTATACTACATCTTGTAAAGGCAATCTTTTTGCATAAAAAAACATCAAGTGTCCTACTATGGAACTTATTTCAAAACATCAATAGAGAGAAGTAAAATTGAGCTAAATTCTCCTCAGCTTTACAGCTCAAATACCTCAGGTATTTGGATGTCAGGTAATGCAGGTGAGTCCTGATGCAGGACCATTTCTAAACAAGTATTTTAGAAACAAAACACCATTTTCACATCTTCCCTTTAACGTAACAAAAGAATTACAATTCACTTCTACTCCAGTTCAGAAGAGGCTTGGGCTTGATTTCAACATCCCCAAAAAACAATGTGAACCAAGTACATGCTTAAATAACCTTTCAGATTACCCTAACTTAATGCCTGCAGCAAGGTTTATCTCAGCTAACTTTGACTATCTAAAAGTAGATATCTATTTTAAAGTGTTTTACATAGTCCACAGAAGAAAACAGACGTAGCAAAAACATCACATAAATCATTTGTCTGGATATTTTACTCCATGTAAAGGGTATCCCACTGAGGATTTTAGTATCTTGGAGGACAGAATATTTCCACCTGCCTTTCTCCTCATCACTCTGCTGCAGTTGATGCAGTATGGGACTTCTATTCCTACTAAAACACACATGTGGCAGCAGCAGAAAAGCAGTGGAAACTACAGTGCATCATAGCCTCTACCACAGCAGAAAGGGATGACAGAGTATTTGACATAGCTTACATTGCTGACTACTGTATTTGCCGAAAGTATTGCTCGCTACTCTGCAGTTATATAATACCTCTTCGAATGCTTCTCCTCAGTTTGTTGCAGAGGTCAATGCGAGGGTTCTCCAAGCTGTCCTCTATGGAGCCGGGGCTCTGCTCGGGGGACGAGGGCCCTTTGCTGAGGTCCAGCGGCACTTTGCTGCTCGTTGGCGGAGGGGAGGTGGCTGGGCTGTAGGTTGAGGTAGGACTGCTTGCGGCAGAGGAAGCAGAAAGATCAAGGGCACCTATCCTTGAATTCAGGGGTGAGGTCAGTGACAATTTTCGTGTTCTGACGGGTGAGGAAGTTCTGGAGAGGGACAATGGGGGAGGAGAAGAAAATTTGCGGCAAAGATGTGGTGACTTCCCATCAGCAAGGTACTCTCCTCTGTTGTTTTGACTAGTAGCAAAAAATAATTCCAAAGACCTGAGGGTAAGAAACACAAAAGCAACATGACTAACAATGCCAAATAGATTGAAGTAGAAACATTTAGAAACATGCAGGCAATGCATGTTACTGAGCCCTCAAATTCAGAGCAGAAAGCTGAGATAGACTTACCTAGAAACTGGCAACCTATCTAAAAAAAAAAAGGAAGAAAAAAAGGGGAGGGGTTCTTCAATCATTTATACAATAAAAACATTACTGATAAAAAAAAATAGCAAACAAAGGCCAGGTAATTCTACTAGAATATGAGGACAGAAGGCAAAAAGAGCTTACCTGACCGGAATGGAAGTGAAAGGTCTTCTGTATATGTCTGAAAGTTTTTCCAGCACAACTGCTGCAGTAGTAAATATACGGTAGGTATGTAGGAAAGTGTTCAGGAAATCAATACTCAGAAATCGCAAGTCGGTTAACCTCTCCAAAAGGCGTTCCACACTTGCATAACGAATCTGGGGTACTTTGCAGGAATTTAATGTTTTGCTAAAGCAGATATCAATGTCATCTCTGTGAAGGCGTGCATCAGATCTACACACAGATTAAATTAAGAATACTTCATTAAAGAGGAAGAATGATTATGGTCCAGTAGTTATATAATTTCAGCTACTTTTGTCATCACAGAAGCTAGAAACATATATTGAATTTTGGTACTTTATCGGTACAAGAAAATGCTTTATTTCTAAAGAAACCTACTCCCATTCGGTTGTTATTTATGTGATAAATAGGGTCATTTTCATTTTACTGTTGGCAAATAATCCATTTGCTGAAAAATAAACATTTAGTTAATATGTTGATTGATTAGATCTGATCCAAATATACAAAATAATTCAAAAAGGCAAAGTTCTCAGAATGGACCCCAGCTATAGAGAGCAAAATTACCCCCTTAGCTAAGCTGATGCCTTATTGGCAAAATAATACCTATGTTTAGGCTCCAAAAATTACTTTAAAATCTCCCATGATTTTTTTTTCCCTTTGGCCTGCCCTAAATTCAGGTTTGCTTAATTTTATCTAGTTAAAAGCTCAGTTTCTGGAAAAACTGAACGGAAACTAAACACACCATCTTTTAAAACTGCCTGAGCTTTTCAAGATGAAAGATCAGATTTTCTGATATTTCAGAACAGCATTCAAGACATTCCACCTATTTCTACACTTCACTAGATTGAAAATAGTTCATTTTTATTGAGGTCGGTCCTCAGAAAATTGTCAACAAATTGTTTGGCTTATCCAAATACATTCATCTAAAGACTTCTGACCTACTACCTTATTTTAGAAGGCAATATATGCTAAAACCAAGCAGATGAGTAAAATCTCTGAAACAGAACACTAGATTTGTTTATATTCTTAACAATTTATAAATTTATATATAGAGGATTAGCATTTCTTGACTTTGACATTAGGACCTTGATGTACTCTGCATTTTGAAAATTAATGAACATTCTGACTTATTCACGGACTAAAAAATTTCCAGAATAAAAATGAATACAACAAAATGTCTTCTTTCTAGGGATAAAAGGTGTCTATCCATCACTGTATGCACACATATGTATTAAATAAAAATGTCTTTATTTAATTTCTAAATTAAGAGAAAGAGAATACACTAATCACTAAAAAGACATCTGAGAAACCTTCATGTACAGAGTACATCCAAGAGGGAGAAATGGCCTAGTGACAAATAGCAATAAGAAGGAAATATTCTACTCCTTAATATTTACACTAGACAAAAATAGATACGAGTCAAGTAAATGCAGAACTGCAGAGGATCACAGAAGAATTCCTGTGTTAGAAATTCAGGATCAGGTACTGCATATTGCTGCTTATGAACAAAATAACAATTTACAAAAATAAATGATGAAGGAGAGTCCAAGGATGGAGGAAGTATGTTTTTGAATAATGATGTGATCATGTGATCAACTTCACTTCATGTGATCAACAAAAGTTATGGAACTTCAGAAAGGAGAGAAAAAAAGGAAAAGAAAATTGTGGCTGGTAGAATGAAGTACTTCAATACTTTTGCGCTCCCTTAAATTTTGCAGACATTTAAAATCTATTAAAATGATAAACAGAACAAAGAGACTAAATATTCACTTGTATGAACTTCTAGGTGAACAGAATTAAAACTAGTCATTTGAAACACAACTGAACGCAACATCAAAAAAAAAACAAGAAAAAAAAAGTAGAATCAATGCTATTAAACAGAACTGAAATATTAACAGAATATATTAAAAGACTGCAATTTCCAATTGCATATACTTTTTAAAAAAAACTTTTATTAAAGCTAAAACAAACTGCCTTATTTCCTGGGAAAAAAAATGTTGCACTTACTTGATCATATGTGGCACAGTGACTTTTGAGTTTTCTTCAAACACTATGGTCATTAAACCATTGCACCTAATATTATCAATGCACTGTGAAAAGGAAGAATGAAAATCATTAAAATGAAAACACAGCACAAACGGACTTAGTCCCATATTTTTCCACATCACTGTGAGCCTAACACATAACTTTCAGAGAGTGTGAACTGATTGATAAGAGAATTCGCTCAAATGGTGATGGAACTAGAGAGAACATGATTCTCTAGTTTTATACTTTTGACTTGCATATTCAGATCTTAGATCTGCATATTCAGATCAACAGATCTTTACCACCGCACTGACACTATTCAGCTTGGCGTCTTTTTTTCACACGACTAAGTATTTTGAGCTGAAAATGAAACTTCTTTTGGAGTTTCTTTGAAGCTGAACAAAATTATATATCTCTAGCACTTCTTGAAAGCGTGTTCAGCTTGCAAAACAAATAGGCATACTGCAAGAGTTAGAGTAGTTTATAGACAAAGTGAGTGAGAGACTATAATACTAACACTGAACAAACAGAGATATCACAGAAGAAGAGGCCTTGCTCTTGAAAGCCAACCGACTGCCAGCGGAGCCAGCTTAAGGCCTGCAACAAGTCCCAGACTCAAAAAAGTACGAGACTCATCTCTCTATAATGCTTTCTAATTTATTCATTTTATTTTACATATGTATTGTGCTCTTTATGACAATCAAAAGGATTTTTCAAAATTCTCATAAAAATTTAAATGGAACTTAACAATAAAATAACTTGCTTGTTTTGCAAAATCTTATATCAATATAATGAATAGTGTTAGATAATTCAAACAAGATAACCAGGTGGTCTCTTTTGGTTTAAAATAATAATAATAATAATAATGCAGGAGAACAACCCTCAGATAAGAAGATGTTTCTTATTTGTCTTTATTTTTGTTGCTTCATTAGGCCACTTGCAAGTTTTCCAGAAACTACTGGCTGCTTGGAGTCTGCCTCAGCACAAAAGCTCTGACATTTGGAGCCAGACACAAACTCTAATCTTTAGTCTGCTTAGACTTCACATGATTTTCTCATTAAAAACAGTTCTTACTCAAGCCAAGAATGGACTTATTCCTGGGTGTCCCATGTTCCAAGCCACTTTTAAAAGGATCTTTATTCCTCAGCAAATCATTCTAACACCTTAAGTGTCAATGGAACAGTATAATTCACTGGAATTTCATATAGCTAAATATGTTCCAACCACATCTGCCTGTAAGATCTGTATCTAGTCCGTTACAGAGACTGAGGCTCTCAACCCATACTATATTTTTAAAATTTTATCTCCAACTTTTTCCTTTAAAACTGTTAGACCAAAAGAAAACAACTCAGAATATCCAGTTTTAAGCAGTTTCTATTCATTATGACAATAATGCATCCAGAGATGTTGCCAGCAGTGTTAGCACACACACACACAAAAAAAATCAAAAACCAGGCTGACATTTGTCTGATCATTTCCTTCTCTCAAAATTAACAGAGGATAGGGCTCAAATTCAACACTGTAACAGATCTATGTACCTATTACTGCTGCAAGTAGAAACAGAACATGCAAATCCATAATGTAAATTCACATCTGATAATTGAAAGTTCGGATCTTTCACAGTGCCTTCAACCTCTTTCCCCAAATAGATTCTGATAAACAGAATCAGCCAAAAGCCCCTTTAAAAAAAATCTCTGCCATTAAGTATTTTAAATCATTTTACTTTCCTTCATCTACAGTGGAATTCTCTGTGCCAAAATGATTCATTACTGTGTGCGACAAAGGTTCGCTAGCATTCTTTTAGGTGGAAAAAAGAGCTAATCACATATCCTGACTGTGGGATATGATATTGATATGAGATGGAAATTGTTTTCATCCTCAATCAGGTTATTTCAGAAATTTTTTATCTGTTTGAAAGTTATAATGAATAAGTACTAACATTTATGAACCAAAATACATATCTAGATGAGCTTTTTGCAGACATGACTGGCAAAATGCCCATAATTAACAACCAATACTATTGCTAGTCAACTGACTAGTCTGTATTTTATATCACACCTGTTTTTATTGAAAAACACATTTTGCTGATGATCAAAAGTTTTTCATGTAAACGGGTAACTGTTTTTTGATGCACATCCCAGCAAATCAGCCCTCCAAAAATGAACTGACAAGCCTATCTTGGATTAATTTTCCAAAACTCAGAATAAAATAAGATCTTGTAACAAATAAGATAAAGAACAGAGTAGGCTACCTGACTTATATCACTTGTCCATGCGGCTTTCTCCTGTCGTGAAGGGGCTAAAAGGACAACAGTAAATGGAGGAGCATCTGTAGGTTCAACTACAAGCTTGAAATCAAGATGTCCAAACACCTGCCCAGAACCTTTTGCTTTACAGTCAGAGACAGAAAAAGGAGAAAAGTGAATATGTGAAATTTCAAATTACAGGTCAGAGAAAATAACTATTTCATTTACAATAGAAATTACTTTAAACATCTAACTGATGTTTAAAAATCCGATTAGGGATACAAAAGAGGCATTCAATATTTCACATGCACCAAAAGTAAAATGAAGTAATAGAACATACAATTCTGGGAGTCAGGAGAAATTACTTTTAAAGGTACCATGTAAAACTTAAGTCCTTTGAAAACTTCTGTGTGCACTGCTTACACATTCACAACACATAAGAAGCATCACTGAGCTTAAGAACTACTTTCACAGTTCAAATGCAATTCATGCCTAAAACCGTAGGTTGGGAGCCAAAATGAATAAACAGTAAGATCAGCTTGGGAACGTATTTTGTTATTTCATTGGAATAAGGTTGCAGTCAAGGATTGTAGAGAGTCCAAGAGAAAAAAATTCCACTAATTCTGCCAACACTCTCAACCTCCATGTAGTTAAGAAACCAAATTATCTGTTTCTGCTTTCAAGACATATCTATCACTTTCTTTCTACAATCCTCATGGTGAATTTACATATAAAAGTCAGAAAATAATTTTCTCTACTGCTTCAGCCAACATTCTTTAATATCCTATGTGGGATGTCAACATCAAGAGCAGAAATAATAAAACAAACCCTTATCTAAGCCAGGACACACACCTATACTACTGAATGAGTTTTTAAACACTATGTTTCTCTGGTTTCATGAAAGAGTACACAACTATATAAAGGTAGCAATTTTAAGAATCTGCTTAGAACTGTAATTACTGCAAACAGCTTAATGTAACTTACAATCATCATCACTTGCTTCAGTCTCCTCAATCAGTGTGCACTCTATTAAAGACAGAACACCTCCTGTCTATGAAAATAAAGCACATATTTTCAAAAAATTTAGACATATTTTCCAGTTCTCACTACAGTTGTTTTTAAATTTTGATATATTTTAGTCAGCAATTTTACATTTCTGAGCTTTTAGGAGGATATTTCAATTTCACAATGCCCATTTTCCCTCAAGAAATAAAAACACAGACATATTATTTGATATATTGCAGCACTTGTCTTAATAAAGCAATTCAATAATGTATTTACACATGCAAAATTTATTTCATTTTTACCATGCTATAATTTATCTCACATATATAGACTTGTTCACAAGTTTCAATAACTAAATTTTAGTATCTTCTCCTACATGTAAATCAAAATAACACAAGACCTTGTAAAGGCTCACCTGCATTTAGTTTACTTTGTGAAATATTTAAGCTATTTAAAAGGTACAAAGTGAAAAAGCATATAAGCTGTTCTGAAAGTGACTCTCTAATATATTCTCACCTGGTACAGCTAGAATTTTCTTATCAGAACTGCCAGTGTAAGACAATATGCTGTTCAGGAAAATAGAACTGCTTTTTTCTAATGAGGTTTGTTACTTATCCGTAAAATATCCCCTGGTAACTGCATTGACTTGGACTGGCTGACTTCTGCATTGAAAGATGCATTTAGTGCTAGCACATGCATTTAGTGCTAGCTCGTAAACAGCTACAGATGTTAATGTCCTGTTTCTCACCCCCCAAAATCTTAGAATTCCAGTTTTACACCTCCCCCAAAAGAGCAAAACATTTAGTTAGTAAGAATTTTAGCTGAATTCTACTTTTTGCTCCTCACATAACAATGAAGAAAACACAGCAGTTAATTGCCACGCATCATCTCACTTCTGTTTATTGGGAGACATGAAAATCTCAGGTTAAAAACATAAAATAATAAAATATTGAAATTTCTCATAATTTACCAATAAATTATTTGCTGGGTTGATTTATTTTTATTTTTATTTTGTAAACAGAGTCATAGTGTAAAATCTGTACCTTCAGCAGATGCAGTTTTCCTCCCGAACTTCTAGTACAAATTAAGAAGTGTTTTGTAAATAAAAAGCACTGCCTTTCTCCTTCTTTTTTCAAAGAGAGTGATCCCAGGCGAACTTTACTAAGTTTTCCCCTCTCAACCGAGGGGACTTGAATAAGGGAACCTGATAATAATAAAGACGAAAAATACACTGTAACTATAAAAACACTCAGTAGATAGTATTTGAAGTGTTAATACATTGAAACCATGACCTTTCAACATAGTACTTATTAATATACATCAGCTTCTCTTAAGCACAACTCCTTCTCTCTGTATTTTATTTTATTTTAAGTCAATTTTGGAACAACAGATTTGTACTTTTAATGGAACTAATAAATCTGACCTTACAACAACAGACTTAGATTGGACAGGCAAGCACAGTCTAGACAAATACTTGTGCACAAGCCAGGACTAGATCTTGGGCAAATTCATACCATAAACACACTGATCAGAAAAGGAAACAAAGCAGCAAACTCCCTTTGCATCGCTTTAGATAGCTTCTGGATTTGAAAAAAAGAAGTACCTAACGTTCAAGCGAGAGGGACAGAAGATGAAAACAACAAGTTTTTCAGGAAAAGGAGTTCTATATGTGTGTCTGTGTGAGAACGATGGAAAGAAAGCAGGTTCCCTGCTCTTGGCATATATACTTGTCAGTGCTCTACAATTCATCTAAAATGTGTTACCAGCAGAATACTTTTGAACTACAGCAAACCTGCTTATGTAAGTCGGAATTTGTCCTCCACAGAATTCCAGACTGGGGAAAGCAGTTCTATTGCAGTTCTATCTGCAGTTCTATTCCTCAAAACCAAACTCTGACCAACTTTTGCATGTTGATACGACCAGGAACACCACTTCTAATTTTGGATCCAGAGTCACATTTGTTACTGAACCACAACTTCTCTATACATCAAAGGGAGAGTTTTGATGATGGAACTTGCTGTTACCAGGAGAAGCGGCCAGAACTTCCTAATCTCATTCCTACACATCTATCTTTACTCCCTCCCTTACATTAGCTTTCTTCTGACCACAACCATTTGCCAGTTAAACTAGTTAATAGAACTAAACAAACACTACAGAAAAGTAGGTGGCTGAGCTCCCTGATATGGCTCAGTGCATGGTCATATACGCACTGGCGAAGGTACAAAGTAATGGTAAAGCAGAACAAGTGTGAGGGTAGGGAAACTGGCCTGCCTCTTTTGGAGACAGCAAGATATCGGACTCCCAGTCCTACCAGTGACTTCTTGAAATAGTTCAAGCCTGAAATAATTTTCCACGTAGTTAATTATTAGCTTACCAATTCTCACCCTATGCTGACCAAAAAAACTCTAGTTCAAAGTTCACACACACATTATTAAACTAAGTAGTACAAAGAAAATTGACTGAGATAATATTTTTCTCCATACTTACCTTTCTTGAACACACACATATAATTAGTATTAAGCTATTATTACATATAGAAAGCTTACATTGTCCAGTGTAGCAAAATATGCATTAGTAAAAGAGAATTACAATAGTCTAGTATTCTTGAACAGCCGTTCACATTTAAGCTAAATATTCATGATATAATTTTTGTCTGCAACAGAATAGCAATGAATAGTTCTACTGCAGAAATTGGTACACAGGGAACATTCTTGACATTCTAACCAGAAAAAAAAAAAAACAAGACAGTTATTGGTTGCTGTACATTTCCCCTGGAGAAAACAGACTACCTGCTTCACCCACTTTTTTTTTTCCTCCTATTTTTATTAGGGTGCTTTCAGGAATACCATAGTGGGTTCTGTCAAAACAGGCTGTAGGTTAAATGTTACGCTTATAAAGACCTGTCTCAATAAGGCAAACCAGAAAAAAAACCCTACAGTTTTTAAGTGCAGAAAAAAACAGCTGGTGTAATGTCTCTTTGATATTGGAGGACCTACTATTTACAGAGAGAAAAAGACATCCTGCAAGTGCTTCATCTAGCAAGGAGGTGGTTGTATATTTCTGTCAAGCTTTTGTGATTAATGGAAGCGAGCAATTAACTTCCATAAATTCTACTCCACATTTCCTCTTAAGGGAAAAAAATGAGTATGACTGCTATGACTGGCCAATTTTACAGACGTAACAAGCAAGTGAGGCTAATTTTAGAACATTCATTAATAGCATGGCTTTTAAAATCAGTAATCTCAGGAATTTTTATCCAGCTGCAAACCTAAGTACTTTCAGTACTTCAGTACTTCCAGTATAATCACTCCATTAGCCTCTGTTCAAATATAAGAATTATAGTAGCCCAGTTTTAAGAAAAATAAACAATATATAAATCCAAAATATTATAATCATATAGAAAAAACACCTACTGTGTTGTTAAATTGCATATTACAAGTAAGTTGAAGATATTTACACAACAGCTTCGCAGTTTTCTGGAAGTGACCTTCATATCTTTTCACATACCTCAATTATAACAATATAGCAAAGAACTAATTACTTTAAAAGTGACTGCTGTACAACAGTCTTCCACATTATTATGGAACACTTCATAGTTGTGGCCAAATGATTGGAAAATCATTATGTAACAGATTTCAAAACATACATAAAACCCATTAAAGATCCACCTTGCATATGGCTGTATTCAAATAATGTATATTCTGCAAATATTATCCTACTTAGTCTACAATAGGCCTCAGAAATGAAGGCACCTAAATTGCATTCCCAAACTTCTCTAAATACATCTAATATTTTTCAGTTAGAAAAATATCTTGATACACATCTTTCGGTACTGCATACAAATCCACCAGCCTGTTACAAAAGATTCGGAGGTGAATTCTTACCTAAATGTAGGAAAAATAAGCCTCTGTTACCATGTATTCCCAAGTTTTGATGTTTTACTGTTAAGGTAAGGTTGTTTTACCACTAGCTTAGTATTGAAAGCTAATTCTATATTTACTTGGTAAAAGGTGATATTCATTTTCAATGGATAGTCATTTTGTTTTAATTTTGTAGAATTTAACAATAAATTCCCTTTCCACCATACATAAACATCAGTAAGAGTATGTTTCCAAAAGCAAGAAGAGAAGTATGCCTCTCTCTCTCTAGCTGTATAATATTACAAATGGTCCTACATTTCTAGCAGAACACGGTGCCTTTTCTTCACGACTTTTTGCTGGAGTGCTTTTTCTATCTATCCTAACTTCTGCTGCAGCACCAAAAATGCACCTCCCAAGAGAAACAGTGAACATGCTCGGAGATTCAAAACACAGCATATTATGGCTATTCCAGTACCATCAATTGTACCATTTTGAGACTTCCCCAAAGCACAGAGAAAAAGAGGAACAACTGACATCTGTTTTCTTGCAATCACTATGACTTGACAAAGCTTCAAGCTTCTCCCAAGCTTTTGTCCAAATGTTGGCATGAACTCTGATTGCAATGTTAACTGAGCAGGAAGTCTTGTTTTCTGTGGAGCTACAGGTAATTTCTGTTCTGTTGATGATGGCAGTCCAATCAATACGTACATTACCATCCCATCGGTACTTTACTATTACTGTGCTACTGTTTCCCACAGCTCCTGACACAAACCAGCACTGAAGTGTGGCTCAACTATAGCCCAAAACGAGTTGTCATCAGGGATATTTTGTGACTTGCACTGTGTGGAAAAGGAGTCTTCAGATGTTCGCTGTGCCCAGTGGTATAACCCTCCTAATGATTTTAACGTGAACCCCACTGTTTTTAAGGTAATTTTGCATTCTTACATAGATAGCTTTAAAAAAGAAGGTCTTACCTTGGCGTATAAAAGTTTGGCTGGTATCTAGCAGTATATCACAGCCTTCTACTATCATTCTTTCTATGGCTAGATTCTTCCGGATGTTTTCTGTGTCACTCACTTCATCATGCATCACCCTGTCAGACACAATACACCGCAGACTTTAAATTCCCTGACATGCATCTTGTCCCTATTTGTGCCTGCTGTTCACTTCTGCTCAGAGTCTGCAGTCATATATAGGTAATGTCCTTCTGCACCTGCTACAAAACAGATGCAGCAATCATGCAGCACATGATTGCTTTAGAACAAGTTTCTGAGCAACAAAAAAGTAGTAAAAGCAGTTCTTGACAAAATTAAAAGCTTGCAAGTGTGTGAGTGTGTTTTGTTTTGTTTTTTTTTCCTTTCAAGTCATTCTTGTAGTCTTAACTACTTAATTTTGAGCAGTGGAACCAATTTCATCAGACCTGGTTTATACTTTTCCTGGGAAAATATGACAGATGCCACCAAACTGAGTTCTTTGTGGCTGCTGGAGTATTCTTCTTGACCATTAAGTAGATTAGTTTGACAGAAAACCGGAATTGTTTCCTAGCTCTTTGTAATAGCTACAATACATTTTAGAGTCTCTGCCCTTAAGTTCCCACTACATTCCACTTTGGTTTATATCTCCTTCTATGTAATAATAAGAGCCTCAACAGATTATCTCTTACTTTCTTCAACTTATTTTCATAGGCACCCTTCTCTTACACAGAAATACAGACTTTTTTCAAGGAAGAAGTCAACAGAGAGGTTTACATGGTGTCATGATCTTTGTTTTCCTGAACTGGTGCCAGACTGTAGTATCTGAATGTTCCTGTTCCCTCAGAACAACTTAAAGACATGGCAATGAAACACGTTCTTTTTAATATCATGGTCTACACCATCTGCCTTGTGAGTAGAAGAGGATCAATAAATCTGAGCCTACAATTCTGGATGTTCACTAATAGATTCACATCATTAATGATTGATGAGACAGAGCAGAGCCCAAACTGCTTCATGCACCTGTGCACATAGCCCTAGCCAAAAGAAATCATATGCTTTGCCTAAGTGGAAAGGAGAATTCTTCTCCACTTCAAAAAGGCCTTGGAGGAGAAAAGAACTTGCCAGACACTGCAGGAATCAAAAAAAAGAGACACATCTCTAAGAGGTACCACCTGCCAAGTCTTTGAGAAGATGCCTGAAGAAGTAGCAGATCATGACCTGCGTATGACTCAGAAAGCTGCCTATGGAAGAGATACAGCAGGACAAAAACGGGAAAAATAATAAACTCCAGACCACTGGGTAGTGCCCATAGCTGCATCAACTGAATAGCAAAAGAAAATGTAGCAGTCAAAAACTTCCAATTAACAAAAAGTATAAAACAAACACTCTCACAACAACGTATTTCACAAGCACTTATTTGGTGAAGTATCCAAACTTCAAAAATCTGAGACAAACATCGTAATTTCATGCAGTTCATGCAGCACTTTGTTCACAGCAGAAAGCCTTGTTATTCAGAGAGAACAAACAAATTTATTCCTGGACTGACACAGAGAAAGTCTAAGAAGGGTCTGGAAGCACAGGGAAGAGATGCATTCTGCAGGTTTCTACCGGTATCACCAATTTAGAAAATAAAATATGTACTGTGTGGGGTTACCAGGATCTTTAGCTCTTACGTATTTATCATTATTTAAAGTATATGTAAAAATCATTTATTTCATTTATGCATATAAACCACATTTACAGAGTACAGTACAGAGTACTGTTCAAGACCCTGACATCTCCTGTTGTCATAGGAAATACTTTTTTTTTTTCCTTTTTTTTTTTTTAAGCCATGGAAGAAAAAATACTTTTCTATCTAAAGAAAATTCCTTTGTTCATACCCAGGGGTAGGTGGTTTCTATAGTAACTCTTTCCTTGCCCAAAATATGGGGAGAAACTGGGGAATACACTGGTATTCTTATGAGAAAAAAAAAATCTTACCTTGAAAGTTCTTCTAGTTTAGATTTAGCAAATTCTAGGCTTTTTCGCTCAACATGTTCATGTGGTGTGTGAGCCAGAAGTTCATGAAGTGTTATAATATACCTAGGGATCTTAAAACAAATTAGAGACAGCATCAACAAATAATTCTAAGGAATAAATGCAAAATCTCTCTTTCTTTTATACTAGTCAGAAAACACTCAATGAATCTTTTTTTCAATGTATAACAACAGTTGACAAACATACTCTAGATATAACCAATGCCAAAAATACTGAAAGTTTTTGTGATAAAGACTGCATGGGCATGTTTTCAGTTTGAGGAAATACATTTATCACATCTGAAGAAAAAGATCAGTTTGAGGCAGTCACATTTATGTGTTAACTTTTACTGTTTCATGATACTATCTAAGTGTCAACAGAGAAAATTTTCACGAATTTATTGGAGATCAAAATATACCTTTTCTCAACTTTAACAGCAGACATGCATCTCGATTTTCTGAGACTCTGAAAATGCCAGCTGATTTGTTTGCATATAAAACTCACATTGCACTTATGGACATTAAAGAGAAAGAAGAAAGGACCCTGCTCCATTTATTGCCACTCAAAGCAATCTCACAGCTCTTGAGCAGAAGCACATGATACTCCAGTATTCTATAACAAAATAACTTATCTGTAGAGTAAAAGCTATTTAGGAAATGGAGACATGCCCTCTTATTATGCTGAAGTCAAAAAGCAACAGCAATAAAAAGATCCACTGTATATGAACAGGACTTTCTTTTCACCTTTCAAAGATCCCATGATCTTGTTTCAGCCAAACAAAATATCCAAAAATGTTACCAAACACAAGCTCAAAGCTGAGCAAATGTATTACTACAGACAGCGATATTTAATATAGCTAATTGGCACAAACAGCAGTAACAACAAGTCCTTTTGTATCGGATACATCTGGACAGATTGGATAACTGGGCAGTGAGAAATCTTACGAAATTCAACAAGGCCAAGGTCCTGCACTTGTACAGTGCACCAGTACAGGCTGGGGACTGACCTCCTGGAGAGCAGCTCTACAGAGAGGGACTTGGGTGTCATGGTGGACGACAAGTTGACCATGAGGCAGCAGTGTGCCCTCGTGGCCAAGAAGGCCAATGGGATCCTGGGCTGCATTAAGAAGAGCGACTCCAGCAGGTCGAGGGAGGTGATCCTGCCCCTCAGCCCTGGTGAGGTGAGGCCACATCTGGAGTATTGTGTCCTGTTCTGGGCTCCACAGTACA